AAAAAAAGTAAAGGGCACTTCTTAACTTCTTCCCCCAATGGTTCACTGAAGTAAGCTGACAGTGGGCAGACTGATAGAAGAGTTATTGATGTGCATAGGGAAAGTCATGGAACAAGAATCTCACAAAACACTGAGCCTCCAAACCAGGTGGTTGAAGCTTCTGTACATTCTGAGTTACAGAAAGAAATAGAAGCTTGTGTTGGTGGAGGAATGCAAGGGATGTATATGTCTGTCTGTCTGCCTGTCTTATTATATGATCAAGTCTCTTAGTTAATATTCTTCTGAAGAATACAAAAGTCTTTCTGGGTAGAGTGTCATGGGCATGGAGACTTTTAGTCTTTCTGACATTTCATAGCAACTGCATTCCTTCCAGAAAGGGAATTTTTCTCAAATAGAATTTCCATCTTGGTGGTTTGTACAGAAAGAGAATTAAGAGACAAGAGAATGGGATGAAGGTGGGACGGAAGGGGAGGGAATCCTTGAGGCTACTCCTTTAGCCCAAAGCGGGCATACTTTGGGGTTGGCATATTGTTTTCTGAGCCTCAACATCTGCAGGCAACTAATCCAAGGCCATTCTCGTCTTTGTGTCCCTGGATTTTTCAACATTTAGGACACTGTTGACTATTTTTCCTTCTCAAAATTCTTTGGGTTTCCATACTACTAGATTTTTCTGGACCTCCTCCTACATCCCATACTGCACCTTAGTCCTTTGCTGGCTCATCTTCCATAAAGTTTTTTTTCAGGGTTTTAAAATGCAAAAGCTCTATCTATATGCTTATTGGTTTACTATACATAAATTTTCTACAAATCAAATTCAGGACATGAAGAGAGATGAATCTCCCCCGTACCTGCATGATATATACAAAATCCAGAAGCAGTAGCAGAATACTATCTTTTGTTAAACCTGGGTAACAAATACATAGACTTATTTTATATTGGTTTTCTTTGTTAGCTGATTTTAGTTCCACAAAATACAGAGTGTCATTGTGATGTTTTCATACATATACTTTGATCATATTACCCTATTGTCTTCTCTTCTCTCTTCTCCCTATCTAATGATCCACTTCTTCTTCCCCAATAGACCCCCTTCCACTTTCATGTCTTTTTCTTTTTATCTAGATTCTCCATATGAAGGATTACATGTGATATTTGTCTTTCTGAGTCTGTCTTATTTTACTTAGCATGACAATCTCTGATTCTATCCATTTTCCTATAATGGCATCTCATTCCTTTGGCTGAAAAAGACTTATGTATCTGTACCACATTTCATTTATCCATTCATCTGATGTAGATTGCTAGACAGGTTGTATTACATGACTATTGTGATAGTGTCAGCCATCAGCTTCCTGTGTGGAGCACCTCCTGCCATCTCCACTCCACATATTCATCATAAGTGATTCTCTATAGCCCAGCCCATAAGTGATTCTCTCTCTGCCCCAAGGGCCCTCAATTGCATCTCCCTTCTGAGCTTTGACTTCATATACCCAAATGCCTGGGTATCTTAGTTCAACTCATCTAAACTGAACTCCCCCAGCCCTGGCTCCTGTCACTACTCCCTCCTATTGATTAGTGTGGAGTGCCAGTGACATGCCACGTTCCACACGATGAGGCAGACCCTTGTCACTTTCCTCTTCCTAACTGCCAGAAGCTTTTCCCAGTGGTTTCCTGCATAGTGTCTCCTGGGTCCATCCTCTTCTCTTTATCTTTATCCTGATCCAGGTCTGTGTCTCCTGTCCACCATCAGTAGCCTCCAAAGCAGGCACTCTGTATCCACTATCATCTGCTGGGGACTATGTGCTGAGGTGATGGATGGCCCAGATGCAGAAGATCATACCATCATGCTGCCTGACATCTCCCTTAGCATTTCCAATGGCTTTCTATTACTCTGAAAATGGTCCCCACAGCCTTGAGTGGTTCAGTCCCTGATCAGCCTCCCTACCTCCTGCTCTCAGCAAGCCAGCATGCTAACCTCCTTTCAGTTCCGCACAGCACCATTTCCTTCCCATCTCAGGGCCTTTGGGTAGGTGAATCCTTCTACCTGCTCTTCCTCTTTCAGATTTCAGTGTAAAGATCACTTCCTTAGGGAAGCCTTCTCTCACACCACAGACAAGATCAAGCCCTGGAGGCTGTGGATATAGCTCAGTGATAGAATACATACTTAGCATGCATGAGGCTCTGAGTTTGGTCCCTAGCGCTAAAAACAGTATTGAGATTTCTGCAGTAAATCACTTAAGTACAATGTAGATTTTTCACATAGAATCTATCAGAATTATAAACACATTTGTTGAGTTGTTCAGTTAATGTTTAACCTGCTGCATGAGTCCAAAGCCTCCTAAAAGCAGTGAGTGTCTTCCTATGCTAGTCTATTTTAATACTGTATACTCTGCTGCTTCAGTATGATTTGGACACAGGGGTGGTTTTCTGTGTCTAGCTCCACCCCAGGGGATTCACTTGGCTTCCTCCTAGTTTTTTTCAGGGTTTAATTTGCACACTTAGACCCCTCTCCTTGTCTCTACAGACTATTCCCCATCCCTCTAGTGTGCCCCCCACAGCATAGTGATTTGCTGCATTACCTTTATCTTATTATTATCCTTCAGTTTCTGTGAGAAGTTGGTTCCAGTACCCTCCTTGCAGATACCAGAATCTCAGATGATCAAGTCCTTTATATCAAATGGCAGTGTTTGCAAAGAACCAGCACATCTGCCATGTGCTACTCCGAATGCCTAATACAATGTAAATACTAGTGTAATAGTTGTTATATTATATTACTTAAATAAGGGGATGGAGAGATGGCTCAGTGGTTAAGAACACTGGTTATTCTTGCAGAAGACTGGGGTTTGAATCCCAGCATCCACATGGCAGCTAGTAACTGTCCGTAACTCCAGTTCCAGGGGATCCGACAGCCTCTTCTGTCCTCTGTGGGCATTGCACAACATGGGTGCACTTACCTGCATGCAGGCAGCACACGCAGGCAGTACACGCATACACATAAAATAAAAATAATAAATAAAATATTTAAAAAATAATAATGACAAGAAAAAAGTCCAGATATTTAGTACAGATACAATTTTTCTGATTTTTTTTTGAGACACTATGTAGCCCTGGCTTGCCTCAAATTTGCTATGTTGACCAGGCTAGCCTCAAATTCACAAAGATCCACCTACCTCTGCCTCCTGAGTGCTGGGATTAGAGGCGTGTGCCACTATACCTGGCTTGACTATATTTTTGACAGTGTTTCCCTAGTCTCAGCCCCCCTGGAACTCGCTGTGTAGACCAGTCTGGACTTAATCTCACAGAGATCCACCTGCCTCTCCCTCCTGAGGATTGAGATTAAAGATGTACACCACCACGCCTAGCATTGGCTTGAATATTTTTTATCTGGGTTGAATCTAATGAACACAAAACCCACAATATGGTGGGCTGACTATAATAGAATGTTGTCTTTCCTTGTCTCCCCTCTCCAGGAGACTCTAAGGTCCTGAAAGACAGGGGTTACATTTAATTATTTTTCATTCCCCAGAGCCTGGCACATTGCCTTATACATAGTAAGCACTCAGTAGATGCTTGTTGAATGAATAAATGAATGAATGAGGTGCTGGTATATGAAAGTGCTTTGGATACCTTAAGCATAGCATAAAATGCAAGATGTTACTTAAGTTATGCGGGATGAGCCATAGATTAAGTCACAGTTCCCTGTGAAACATGAAGCAGCTTAAGATGGGACATTCTAGTGGGTCCCAATGTACACAACCAAGAGTATTACTTCCAACCCAACATCTTGGAGACAAGGACATCCCTGGGAGCTCACTAAAATCAAAAGAGAAGATTGCAGCATTCCAGAAAAGTCGCCATAAGGGCTAAGATGTCTTTCAGAACAAAATAATAGAGCCTGGAAACTGAATCAAATCGTAATTGAATATAAAGTTACTGTCTGTAAGAAAATGTGTTGGCAGAGGTTGAGTGCCTGGAGCCTGGGGTAGGAATTCCATATAAAGACTACCCTTGTCCCTGGGACTTTCAAAATCACCAGGGTCAGAGTGCCCTGAGCAGCTACACATCAGCCTCAGAGACAGGAGCACTTCAAGTTCCTCAGCAACTGCCCTTGTACTTGCTTCCAAGTGGTTATGAGCACAATTTGCCATGCCGTTTGACTTCTCTCCAGAAAGAGATTGCTTTGGCTATCCAGTATGTGCTGGCCTACTTGGCACTTACAGCTCCACTCCCTTGAGAACTTCAATTAGTCTTCTCCAACCTCCTCCCATTGGACTTACTGACAAATGGAAGGTTCTAAACCTGAGGACCACATGTTGGAGCCAACGATGCTTGGTGAAGCTCCAATTCTTGTCTTTCTATGAATTGAATAAATCTGAGTCAAAGTAAAAAAAAGTGGATCTGGAGAAATCTAGGCTGTCCAGCGGCAAGTCCACAGAGAAATGGTTCAGTGGACAAGAGCACTTATTACTCTTGCAGAGGACCATCTGCAATTCCAGTTCCAGGGTGTCTGGCACTTTCCTCTGGCCTCTGTGAGCACTGCTTGCACATGGTGCATATACATATATATAAAATGAAAAGGAATATTTTTTAAAGTATGTTTCTCCCTTCAGCAACTCTGTTAGCTTCTACTACTAGAAAAATCATGTGCTATTATTTTGTTTGCCTCTTAGAGCCAGAGGGGAGGAGTTTTATTTCTAAAAGTAGGAGAAAGTCTAGTAGAAAGGAATATTCTTTTTTTTAACTTTTACAAAAACTTTATTGAGAATTTCATACATGCATATAAGGTGTTTTAATCAAATCCATGCCCACTCCTTCCCCTCCAACATTCCCCCCTCTGAAGAGGTAACCCTAAAATCTTTTAAGGATTAGATACAAGCTCCCAAATACTTTTGACACTTTGACATTTTTGGCCTTTGATCTTACAGTCAGCATTTATAACACAATTTTTAAAAATTCTGTCTTAAAACACAAGATATTATTGAAAATGTATATTTTATTTCTGTGTGTTTTTCTCTAATTTTTTTTAACTCACTATGTAAACCAGGCTGGTCATAAACTCACAGAAGATCCACCTGCCTCTGCCTCCTGAGTCCTGGGAGTAAAGGTGTGTGCCACCACACCCAGCTGTGTCTTATAATTTTGAATTTATATAAGTTGTGATCTGAACTGGGGCAATTGTTGTTTATAAAACAACATAAAATTACTTGGGTCTGACATTTTCTGTGCTCCTCTGTTGACAGAAAAAGCTGACAGTTCTGAAAGAGAGGCACTCATGTCAGAGCTCAAAATGATGACTCACCTGGGGCACCACGAGAACATTGTGAACCTGCTGGGAGCGTGCACACTGTCAGGTAGTTTCCACCCAGAACACTCAGTCCAAAACACTGCAGCCTGCAGACAGAGAGGGTCTGGTTCCCATTTCTACTCTCTTTTCTCACCCCGCAGTTCCATTGGAATTAGACACTGGACCCTCTATACATCAGATGGGTCAACATAATGCCTCTTTCTTTAATCTACTCTGGGGATGTATAACAGAATTCTAACCTACTGAAAAGCAACAACAGTCCTGCGAGTACATTTTGTGGTATATGAGCTTCTCCCCTGGCTGCAAAACTGGTTTAAATGTAGTTGTAAAGATAGCCGCAGTGCTCAGTCCCTACCCTCATTGGTACTGGTGAGGTCATGTGTACAGAACCAAGAGGAAGGCTAGAAGATGCTGCTTTCCAAAGAAGTTTGAGCGTAAAACTGGAATTGAATTTAAAATATAAGAAGATACCAACTCACCAAAAGTACTTTCCCACAGTTGGGGGAGAACTGATCTCCCATGGACTATGTCATGATACATAAAATTCTGAAAAAAAAATCAGGGTTTGTATACCTATAACTAAAACTATAACTGTTTCAGGACCGGTTTACTTGATTTTTGAGTACTGTTGCTATGGTGACCTTCTCAATTACCTAAGAAGTAAAAGAGAAAAATTTCACAGGACGTGGACAGAGATTTTCAAGGAGCATAATTTCAGCTTTTATCCCACTTTCCAATCACATCCAAATCCCAGGTAAGAGACCGGGGCAGGGCTTTATAATTCTATGTCAAAGGACATGGACACAGACAGTATGATCACTGAACATCCTTGCTGACCAGTTTCTACAAGCACTGTATGGTCTGTGATCTAAGACCTAGAGTAGTCATTTATGTGTGCGGTGAAGTTCTGCCCAGTTAGCTCTTGTTTTACTTAATAAAGATTCGGTTAACCACAGGAAACCATGATCCAAAAATAGAAAATAGAAAAGCCCAGAAATAAACAATTTATAAGTTTTAAATAATTCTATCATAGTTGTTCTATTTTATTATTAGTTGTTGCTCTTCTGTTACTATGTCTGATTTATAAATGAAGCTTTACCATAGATATGTGTGTATATAGGAAAACACTATCTGTAGGATTCACTACAATCTGCATCCACTAGGGTGGTTCCTTCATTGAAATGCACCCCAAAGACAAGGGGCATGACTAGTTTCCCTTTGAAGTTGGAACAAGAAGACCTTTCTGTGCTTTCGGTTACAGGTACCTCTAAAAGTCACCTTAGATGAACATTTCATTTTGGACATGGTGTACCATTCATTCTTTCAGGTTGTTTAGTCTAGTACAAAAGACTACAAAGAAAGAATGAGGACTGCTCCCAAAGCCCTTGCCATGTTCAGAGAGGGTACCTTATGTCCTGGGACTGTTGCACAAAAGGGCTCTAAACTCATGAAGTGGATTTTTAAAAGTTAAGGTGGATCGGCTGGCATGTGATGGGAGCTGTGCGAAGCAGCAGCCAGAACAGTTGTGGGTCCTGATGGGAGGGGTTTAGCTGCATGAAGGAGGGCTGCAGGAGTTTGGTGGCAGGCTCCTCCTCAGCCTTGCGGCTTCTAGCGTCTCTGAACAGGCATTCTGGTAGAACAACTCTTTCATCCCAGCACATTCCCATTTCCCTGTGGAACTGAGCTCTCCCTTCTTCTGAGGGCAAATTTGTCAAAGACTTTCACCTTTTCTGGGACCTTTGGGAAATGTGTTTGAGATTTCCAGTTTTGTCCACTAGAATACAAGTTTCAGTACAGGCCTTTGGCTTTCAATCTCTTAGAGACACAGCATCTTGAAACCACGAGGCCCCATGGAGGTCCCCATGCATGTCTGGGCATGTGACTTCCACACCTTTACTCTCATTTCTCAGTTTACACTACAAAACTGAGAAAATCCTACAATGCCATGCAAATGTTTCTTTCCTTTCTTCTTTCTTGTTTTCTTTGCACACAAAAATGATGTAGGGTGTGTGTGTGTGTGTGTGTGTGTGTGTGTGAGAGAGAGAGAGAG